GGGGGGGCGCTACACCTGAAGGCTATCTCGCTTATTACTGGACCGAATTTTACCAAATTTCACACAAATAACAAGCATAGTAAGGAGTCTTAAAATCCGCAATCAAATTTGAGAAAAAAAATTTGTTTCCATGGATACGTCGGCCATATTGGATTTTGTTGACATGTCTTACGTAATGAATACCGCACTTATCGCTGACGGAAATTAATAAATTTTTTTTGCATGCGTGTTCACAAACATTAGATCTAAAAAAGTTTCTGTTGTTTTTTTCCTAAACGAATTAGAAATTTTTTAATGAATGTTTTCCTGAGGTAGCATTCAAGTTTGTAAAAAATCCGAGAAAATCCGCACTCCAGGCACCATCAACAAAAATCTATTCCATATATCAAAAATTCAACAGACAATTTTTAGTATTACGTCTTCTCTTCATTCTGTGAAAATTTCATGAAGATTGGTTGAAAAATAGTGGAGTTATTAAAGAAGTATAGAGAAAAGTCGCGTTATGAGAAAACGGCTGATAAAGAAAAATAAAATATTGACTTTATGAGGAAATGGCGGTGACAAACATGCCCGGTATGGGATAAAATACGGTTCTGGGGGTTCTTATGCTATGAAATAGTTGTAGGAGAGGCTGAGATTTTGAGCAGAATTTTGACTTTGGGGGTGTAGCCCCCCCCCCCCCCCCTTAAGGAGACAAGTCTGGGACCAAGCCAGTCAGAATTGAGGGATGCAAAATCCAAGCAGAAAGACCGAGATAATAGAAAATTCTCCCAATTCAGGAATCGAACTCGGGTCTCCTGCGTGTGACAAAGAAAGGCCTAACCTCAAAACCACTTCAGAGGTGTAAATCATGTGACCTTCAGTCATAAACTTACGGTAGAACAATCTAGACAGGCAGATCAGAAACCCGCCTCCTACGTAATCTAATTTGGATCGATAGGGGTGTATAAACACCGATATTTTTTTCGTTTGCATAGTCAAACGTTGTGACAGTTTGCCTCGGTCGAACGCGTCTCATCTCAGGTCTAGTTATGTGTATCCTGCAGTACGAAATTAATATGACTCCCCCCCCCCTCCCCTTGCTCTCACTTATAACCAAAGCGACAAAAAAGAAAATACCTATTATCCCATACATCCAGTAGTGAAACAAATACAACAAAAGAAAATGTACCACACAAAGAAACAAACAAACATATTGATAATAGTGATATTTTAGTTGTTATAAGGCAATTTGCGACTGAGTCACTGGGGTTATTGTACGGGCGCTCTGGGCTGGTCCTGCAAAAGGGTCGGCAGAGAATCATAACATCTGTTGTCGTTTGGAATCTCCATCATCAAGTGCCAGATCTGCTACTGACATCGGCGACCTCGGCTTACCATTTATTCCTTTGCTCGGATGCTCTAAAAAAAACAACAACAACAACGCACACACACACTCACACACACACACACACACACACACACACACACACACACACAAAACACACACATACACACACAACCACTCCCCCCAAAAAAAAAAAACCCTGCCTATTTAATCCCCGTCACCAATCTGTCTAGGCTCTCCAAAAAAGTTTCTCTGGGTCTACCTATGTCATGTTTGCCTTCAGTTTTACCACTGATAACAAGACGCTCAAAGTTTTTACGTTTATTCAAGAGTCACAGAAACTGCATTGGTCTCTTCCTAATTGTTTTTGGAATACCTCAGTGCAAAACTCTAAAGAGTATCATACATTATGTTGTTGTTTCGTTGTTGTTTTTTGGTTTGTTTATTGTTTTTTTCTCCATTTATTTACTTTAAAAATTCCTCAGCTCAAAACTCGGCACTTTAGTGAGTGGTTGGCGCGTGCTCCTGTGTGATTAACTCTTCTTTTTCCTATCAAACATATATTGTTTTTAGCTCCCCTGCTTCTATTCTTTGTGTTTTACTCTTTAGTAACACCTTTAATCTTCGGTACTTAAATAACCTATTTGTGTAGCAGGTGCCGTAAAACTCTCATTAGAACTAAAACTAGAGAGTACCACATCAGCTGTGTTTGGCATACCTCAGTGTAACAATTTGGTAGAGTACCACACCAGCGTCCGTGGAGTAGCGTTAGACGCTTCGCTATCGCACGCTGAATACCCGAGTTCGATTCCCGACTGTATTGATCTTTCTCCTAGGATGCTGTATCCCTCTCAGCCCAAGTTGGCCCTGACAAACATGGTTGGAAACCCGCCAGCTGCCTTAATGATGTAAATTGTGTCGATTGGGGGTTGGGGGGGGGGTTGGGGGGCGTTAAAACACATACATTATGAAATGAGAAACAAAAACCGTATTATTATTATCTACTGTTTTGGGAATACCTCAGGACAAAAAGCTTTCTTTTCTGTGGTCTTATATTCTGCAGAGCCCTCGGAATCGGTGCTTTTTGTTGTGTGTGTGTGTCTGTTTTTTTGTTTGTTAGGGTTGTTTTTTT